ATATATTATATATGATATGAAAATTTTCCGACTTTTTGTGTAGACGCCGATTGGATAAGCGCCTATATAGGCCTCTCGTTCTTTTTTGATCAGAAGGTTTAGCGAAGTTAATGCGCTATATAATAAAGCACCCTGTATATATAATTGAGTATGTTTTTCGAATTTTCCAATATTAATTTTTCTGTTTTTTAGTTTAAATTCATATTTTAAATGAAATTTCCGTTGTGTTAAATTGCTTTCAATAGAAACTAAAATGCAAATATAAATTAAAATAAAAATACTATATAACATAACAAAAAATAATTAAATAAAACACATCCGAATTTAATTATTTACATAAGTGATAATAAATTGATTAAAAAAATAACTTACCAAGTTGTTTTTTAAACATTTTAAATAAATTAGCAGAATTTTGCATATCGTCGAAACCAGTTCGAACGAATTATAAAATATGTTATTTTATTATTAAATGAATATTTTATATAAAACTTTTTTATTTACATAAATAGTTCGGGCGCATGATTGAGTCCGCGAATAATAATTTTGTTGAAAAAATTAAAAATAATGCTACGACCCACATAAATTAAATAAGTTAAAAACAATTATTTTACACAATATATCCTGTTATTATATTCATATTACACACACAATGAAAAGGTTAACAAAATATTGAATTTAATATTGACAGCTGCCACAGAGGTAATAAAACAAATGTATTCACACGTAAAGAGACAAACGGACAATGTATTTCACATGTATGTGTAATTATAAATTAATAATTTATTTAATCACAATAAATGCACAAACTTACAAACTTATATGTACATACCTTCGAAGGAATTTATTTAACGCTTTACGTTTGTATGCACACCCACTCACAACACAACTGTATGTGCGTGTACGTGAACGGTGACAATGTGTTAAGCAAATAATAAGCGGTTAAAAAAAAAACAGAATTCAACCTGAAACAACAACGAATTATTGGTAATTGTTCGTATACTTATTGTCACTAGCCTCCCACCTCTGCATATGTGTATGTGTATTGTGTATTGGTTTTATTGCTGGCATTATTGGCGATAATAATAATAGTAATAATAATGACGTTATGTTGTTTATAGTTATGTATTAATAAAAACACACACACACATTGCTATGCTTATGGGTGCGTTAATACATGGCACAATAAGCCAACGGAAGCGGAAATCAGGCAGCATTGTGTTAGTGTTTCGTACATGTTCGATTACACAAACGCTGGAGCTTACGCATATGAGGTATTATGTGATGCAACGGGTTATAATTACTGGAAACACGCGTTTGTCATATGGTTTCCGTTGAAATGTAGGATAAGCACATACACATGCGAACACATACAATCAATTAACCAACAATGAGAAACCCGTAACCAGTAACCCAACACATACAACGCATACAACGTATACAACGCATGCATAAATATGTAAATATTGATAACATGCAAATATACTATAGTAAACATTGTATGCATATGTGAAAGCCTATATCTGCTTACACGTATGTAAACATTAAAGGATTTCGCCCAGTTTTGGTCGAAAATTATTATTCACAAGTAAACAAATGTTCTGCTTTCTGCGCTCGTACATATTTAAGTAAAACGAGTTATATGGTTCAAACGGTATCCGTTGTCGTGTGTATTTTAAGTTAAATACTTAATGTTTACCTCATATTATTATTATTTTTTATTGTTTTCTTAAATAATATTATACTAAAATTATACTAATTTTTATATAAATTATAAAACAATTCAAAACTGAACTGAAGTATAAGTGAAAAAGTACAGATGAATAAAACGCATTGTGATTAAAATTACATTTGATCAAATGTTTATTTTTATGTACCTTCTGCTCAAAGAGTACTCGGATTTTATAAATAAAACACACAAATTTGAATTTTTTTTCCAAATTTATTTTATCTCCTTCAAAATATGCTCCTTCTGAAGCGATACCCATATGCCAACGCATAATCCAATCTTCCACACACTTTTCGTAGGCCCGTGAAGGTATGGCTTTTAGTTATTTCAGCGAATTCTCTTTTACCGATTCAATCGACTCAAAACGCTTACCACGAAGAGGCAATTTGAGTTTTAGGAACAGGAAAAAGTCGCACGGTGCCAGATCTGGCGAATATGGTGCCTGAGCGATGACAGTGGTGCCGTGTTTGGTCAAAAAATCGCATACCACAAGAATTTTACATAGTAAAAATCGCTAACTGCACTTGAGGTAGTCTCACATTAACAGCTTCTGTAAACAAACTAATTGACAGATGACGCTTAAATTTGTACCATATGTCAAGAAAGGGTGTACCAACAAAACAAAAAAAAGTTTTGAAAAAGGTCTATTACTTAAGGAGTAGTTAACAAACAACAAAATCCGGATACTTTTTGAGCAGAAGGTAGTTTGGGTCTTCAAAAAATAGGTTTGAAATACAACATCACTTAAATGTCCTCCAAGGGACAGCTTACAGAATTATGATGTTTCGAATCATTTTCATTTCATATTCGGTACATATCATCTGGCGCCATCTCTCTAACAATATATCGGACAAAACTTGACAAAAAACGGGAAGTTTTGATTTTTTTTTGGTGTCGAACCTAGAAGAAAAATCTTCTAAAGATACAAAATGGCCCTTACCATTTGCATGTCCATATCATGCACGACTGAAATGAGTCATACATGCCTACGGACTTTTGAGTTTTGATTTTTTTTGGTATCGAACCTGGAGGAAAAATCTTCTAAAGATACAAATGGCGCATACCATTTGCATGCCCGATTTATGCACGACTCAAATGAGTCATACATGCCTACGGACTAAAAAATACCCACATTCTCAGCCCAAAATCCTGAAATTTCCTACAGTACGACCATTTAAGGTATTCCTTCACAGCGCAGGTTAGAAGAGCACTTAGTGTGCTTTCATTCCGATTGTATACTAGGTATTTCGTCCGCTTTATTAATGTTCATTGTTCGAGAGATTATGCATTTGTAAAGACTCCACTCCTCAATCCTTGCCAACATCTGCATTACCATAGTAGAAGAACTGACTTCACCAATTAGATTTTGTCTAATATCTACGAATCATATACAGTCTCTAATTATATGGTCGGGACCCTCAATTTTATCTGGACAAAACTGGTAGTACGGGTTTGATGATTGTCTAAACAGAATTGATGATTTGTATCACACTTTTATCACTTAAAACAAGCAAATTTTAGTCTTTCACAACTTCAGATTAAATACTATTACATATATTAGAATGAACTTGATGACATAACTTTATGAAAGACGGAGAGTTTCGAGGATTTTCTACATAAAGATTAACTTTTACGAAATCTTACATAAAAAACCAATAATCTTGTCAAATCACATGATCTTGTGACCAAATTTACATCACCAACATGTAAAATTATACGTTTTGGAAATTCTCCGCGCAATAGAACTGAATTATGACGTATTACGTGGGTTATGGCATCATTTTCGAGAAACCATATATCGTCTACATCCATATCTTCAATTTTATATAAAAAATATTGGTTTGTAATTTACTTTCATTTATATATCCAATGCGTGAAAGTTCGAAATTTCTGCGCGCTACAAAATTAAATTATGATATGTGGGCTGTGGCACCGTGTTGTTAAGACCATATATCTTCCACATCCATATCTTCAATTTCACAGCAATCAAAATTGTTAATCAAGTTTTTGTAGACATCAGAAATGACAATTTTTATGACACTTTCATCAGTTTGACCTTCAAGTCAAATGCGACAACATACACCTTTTTTTGTAAAGGCGGTGGATTTTCGACAGTTAAGTAACTGTCAAATTTAAACTAAAATTTCAAAAATTTTGTAATTGTATTACTGAGATATATTTTAGACATATTTGTAACATAAGATATATTCTAAAGTACGGATAGTCCGGTAGTGAACTATTGCCTGTCAACATACCTATTGAAGTTCGACAATTTTTTCGTGACAGCGCTAGTACAAATCAAGTATCCCACCTTTTTATTAAATGCGTTTTCATACCTTGTTTAATTTCATTTCTGATTTTCTTTTTATTATTCAATTAGAAGACGAACTTTGACAACCTGAATCACTTTTATTTCTTTTGTTACGTGACCTTAATGGCTAGATTAACATTTTTAGGTTTTCATAGCACCGATCAACCTTCAGCACATGTAACAATTTTATTGACGGAATTGGATCTCGAATTTTCAATGTCTTAACGTATCTATGATGACCGCTTAACATTTGTAATACAGTCATGTCATTCGAGCCTAATTAATCAGCAATCATATCTTGGATTAATCTTAAATTTGGATCAATTTTAGACTTTCTCCAGAGAAACATCATCAGTCGAAGATTTTGAACGAACTTCGCAAATCTCGTTCTTCACAGAAAAAAGTCCAATATGGAATCTCCAAAACTACTTGAGATCCTTACCAGCAATGGTACTTTTTCTTCGAATGTTATTTGGCACTCATTAAATATTTCCATAGGATTAAAGTATGTGACCGCTCCTGTAAAAGAATTAATGGCAACACTTGTCAAATCAGCTGGCGTTTTATTTTTTTTTGAATTTTTGTTAACTTTTCCGTAGATAATCAGTCAACTGTGATCGGCTGACTTTTTCAGCTCTACTTGAGTGATATAATATATTAAAAACTAAGGAAAAATATTATTTATTCAGAAAAGAAAAGTACGGTATAACTTTTTAAATTAATTGTATTTATTTACGAATTATTTATAACTAAAGTATGAATATTAATGTAAGAAAATTAAATTTAATTACAATTTATATGTATATAATGTACATATAAACAATAATTACAATTTTTATTTATACACACAAATTAAAAAACGGAATTCTTGAATATTAGCGGTGAGGACATCAATTTATCTATTTAGGTCGTCCTTGTTTAGTCCTTATAAGCTGTTGTTAAAAAGAAAAATTTGCACTAGTATACTACATATAGTATATAAGATGGAAAATGATTCGGCGTCCTGTAAATTGTTTTGCATTGATGTAAATTGATGTAGGGATTGTCTTATATGAAACATTGAAACTATTCAATATTGAAATGATGTATATAAAAAATTATTCCTTCGTCCATAATCAACACAATAATATTCCACAATAATATTCCACAATAGTATTCCACAATAGTATTCCACATATTAAACAAATAACGCACAAAAAATAAATTATAAAAAATAAGTCCTTAATGTCAATCACCAAATAACCTGTTAACTTCAGGACCATTCAATCTTCCTTATTAAGTACGATAAATCGAATCCGTTTCGGAATACAAATGATTTTGGTACCCCGAAACAGTTGTTTCATCATCCCACATTTCTGTAGGTGGCACTATAACTTTAGGAACTTTAACATTTTGGTTGTCGCTTAACGTATAATCGTAACGATCATAAGTGTATCTGTTTTCGCAGTGTTTCATATGTAACTGGAAATATAGGTATTACATAATAATTTGTTTATAACAAAAAAAATGTTAACCTACCGCCAACGAATCAGAGTCAGTGAAAATATGGCACACATTAAAAGCACAATACCATTTAACAACATTCTTATAATTTTTACCACATTTTATAATATGTGTTTGAAAATGTTTCGAAAGGATTGTGTGACTTTTATCGTAAGGACATTGACGAAGAAGCGTTTCGGGTACTAATGGACTTTCTTGAATAATCTGTAATGTAAGATAAATATTTAATCTTATAAATGTAAAATAAAAACTTACTCTTTCAAGATGCTCATTTATCTGAGAACTGTAAATAAAATAACACATTTATTAGAAACAATAAGAAAATCAAATTAAATTAATTTTTGTTTTTTTAACTGTAAACAACTTACTTTGTCGATGTCATTTTGGTAAATAGAATCTATAAAAAAAAATAAAATTATAAGATTAATATGACATATTTATATAAAATTTCAATAAAAAGGAAATTATGTGCAATCAAGAAATCTGTTACCTTGGGTATTTCTGAAGATCACACAACTTTTCTCTCAACACACTAATTGTCAGTTACTAATTGGTCTCTGAGGCGTTCTCTATTGACTGTAACTGCAATAAAGTGAACAAAATCAACAGTTAAAGTTGTGTCTTAATCATTAGAAAAGCGAAAGATTAATTTTTATTAATAATTTCATAAAAAACTAATTTTGTATTGAATATAAATTTTTCATTATATTTTATATTTTAATTTTCATATTTAATTATTATATCTATATATATAAAAGAAAGATGTGTTTTTGTTACACCACTTATAACTCAAGAACGGCTGAACCGATTTAGCTGAAAATTGGCAGGGAGGTAGTTTAAGGCCAGGAGAAGGATATAGGCTGAACCGATTTAGCTGAAAATTGGCAGGGAGGTAGTTTAAGGCCAGGAGAAGGACATAGGATACCTGTTTATCCCGTTCACGACAAAGTAGGTTTTGAAATTATCAAATTTTTGATATAAGAAAATATTTTATTAAAATTTAACAGATAGAAATATAACTTAGTTAATGTGTTTTTAAAAGTTGTATTAGATCAATATAAGTTTGTGTTGCAATAAATATCGTTTTTAATCAATAAAACTACCTGGTTGTTGCAAACTCAACAAAATAAATAATTAACAATTATAATGTATGGTATGGTTGAAAATTTGAGTTTTTAGTTTTTTAATAATGCCACGACCAAGACGATCGAATCTTTCCCGACAAAGCCGTAATGCAAGAAGAATACGAAATACTGCAAATTTAAGGACTGAAGGTCGAGCGAACAACAGAGGTCAACAAATAGATAATTTGCGATGTGTACTAAAATACACAAATAAATTATGAATGATTAATGTAGGTATTTTTTTTTTTTTGTATTTTTTCCAATTAAAAAAAAACTGCTTATTTATTGCCTTTAAGGCGGAACAGAGTTCGCCGGGTCATCTACTAGTAATTATATAACTAAAATATTAATTTATTAATATATTGTTAATATTTTTATATTTTATTATGACTCCAGACTCAGGCGAACTTATCAAAATGCTACAATTCTCTTAAACTAATGAAATACCGACCCAAGGTGTTGTTTAAATTTATCGTTTATAGTTTGTAATTAAAACATATTTTCTGTATTGTTTCTATTCGTCGGCATTATCTTTAACAATTACAAAGAAATGAACCGAAAGTGCTTATATATTTAAAGCAAAAACAATCACTCGATTGCTCTCCAATAATTAATTCTTAATTAATTTGTATACTAATATAGATTTCCACAAAAATATTCCCTCAGGTTAGAAGCTTTGATTCTAATTCTAACCTGAGGGAAGAATCAAAGAAGATTTCCACTACATTACAAATATAGAGGCTTGGCAAGAAAACTAGAATCTGCTTACGTAAAGCATCGAATTATCACCATAAGGCTGTTACCATACGGCAGCTGGACACTAATATTTAGAATTATGTATATTTAACAGTCTTGCATTAATTTATTTTTTCTAAACCGTCTTTGGGAAACATTAGTTCAATAAAACTTTTTATATCCCAGACCCTCTTAAAGCTTACATGAAGACGTTGCTAGGTTTGCAGCAATATATTTACCTTTCTTCTAATAAATATTATAAGTATAAAAGAATATTGCACTTACCTTATAACATATGTTAATTCAATATAGGTAGAATATTCCGACTAACGCCCAGTTAAATAACACAACTATAGAATAAGAAATAGGGACTGTTATTATCTCTGCTGTCTGTAAGAATAAAATTCAGTTTTGTCTTATAAGCTTTCTCTAATACTGAATATGTATTATAGTATATGTTGCAATATAAAGCATATAAAATTAAAACAGTTTTTATATGAAAGTAAATTTTATCCAACTAATATCAATACAATGTGACATTTAAGTCAATACCAACGTAGTTATTATTTGAGACCAACTGTTCTCGAATGCCCCTGTCTATATTTACTAGACAATAGTAATAGTAATAAACAATAGTAAAACCCATAAACCATTACCATTATTATTACCTCAGTAATACCTCAGCAATATATATTTATAATTCTATTAACCATAACTATTATTCAAAGAAATATAACACTTACCTCAAAAATGTGGAATCAATTTATGTTAAAAACTCCAACTTTTGCACAATTAACTATCAGACCTATTTGAAAAAAAAATTTGTACGGATGATATTTTTGCTTTTAATATTGCAAGGTATGTAAACATTTAATAAGAAAAAGTATTTACAAAACAAAATTTAATTTTACACGACAAAATTTTTGTAGAAAGTTTTATATGAAAAAAATTTTTTTGAACCAATCTCTTAAAAATGATTTATAAAGCTAAAGAAAGTAAAAATCTGACATTTAAGTCAAAGCTAGTGTGTTTATTATTATTGCCCGGCCAACGAGAGGTGAGCAATTCTCGAGCGCTTCTCGAGCGCTTCTGGGACATAGACCCAGCAACTTCCAAAACCTGAGAGCAAATGTTGTTAATATTAAAAAATATTAAACAACATTTGCATTTGTACAACTCTGAACCTAAAAAGACTTCTTACTAGTACTTACACTAGTCTTATTAATATATTAAATCACTTTATTATACTCGTAGCACTACTTTATTAAACTATTAACACAATGAGAAGATGAAAACACACAGTTGCTTTTCTTCTCCCCGAAGTGAAGTTGGTTGTGTTACATGAAGGTGATAGCTAGCATTTGTACTTATGTATGATCAAAAATGTATCCTACCTTTTTATGCCTTTCAACTCAATTTATTATTTATTACTAGTTTATTGATAGCGATGTCACATATAGTCATTGGCTAAGATAACCTATACAAGTATCAGATCAGTAGACGGCATCAACGTCAAGTTATTAAAAATATATATAATGACTATTATTTATTAAAAGGAATATCACACTTACCTCAAAAATGTTAAATATACGTTATAAACCTTAAGTTCCGCTCAATTAGTTATCGGTCCTATATAATTAAAAAAATAAAGCACGATATTTTAGCGTTGTGTGTCGTAAAATTTTTAAATACTTAATTAGAATTTTTGTTTTTATATTAGTCGTACAAACTTTCTCTATTGCTGAATATGTAATTTAGCTTGGGTTACAATGTATAGCTTCTGTAGTTGGAACAAAGTTTTATATGAAAATAAAATTTTCCAACAAATTTGTAAAAAATGATATATATAACAAAACAAAATAAAAATCTGAGATTTAAGTCAATGCCAACCATGTTATTGTTATAGCCAAATCAAAGAAAGAGGTGAACTCACGGTTCTCGCTGGGACAAAGACCCATCGACTTTTAAAGTCTGAGTACCGACGTTGTTCATATTTTTGTGCTTAAAGCCCGGAAAACAAATCTCTTAACTTCTATATTTAATCATGTTAATTGCAGTAGAAAAATTGTCATAATCTTTGATCCTATTAACTGGGACTCTAACCAAAATAAACTACCTTCAAATATTTTCTTTTAGTTTGTTCAACACTAACACTGTTTCGAACTATAAATTCGGAATTCACTTATTAAGTGGATAGACCAACGATAGCGAAGCTATGGCATGCCTGCCACAAATAAAAACATTTCAATATCGTCATTAGTATATTCGTACCTGCTACAGCATAGTCAAAAATGTAATATATGACTTACTAAGTACGTAGTGTAAACGTACTGTAACCAACTTTTTTGCCTCTTAAAACATTTATTGGTACCAATAGCAGAAGATATGTCATTTATTAATGAATATGACATTTAGGAAGTGTGCGAATTAGGCTAAGTTGCATTCTAAATGAGGGAAATTCTAAGTTGTGCCGATAATGTAGAAATATGTCGATACGTGTTAATAAATGGCTAAATGTGTGCAATGCAAAAAATCCCAAAAAATCGCCCATTTGGTTTAGAATCAACTTAGCCTAACTCGCACACGTCCTTAATAGCTGTCGTTTTTTTTTCAGAGTAGCAAAAAAATACTCGCAGCTTACGAAAGAAAACATGTAAAGCAACAATATTGCTCTTAAAATCTTCAGTTAGGTTTTATTAGCAAAAAATTTTACGTGCAATCAAAATCAAAAATCTGTCTATTATGAATATTCACTGAATATATGTTGAAAAATCCATCTCATCCGTTGAAATCATATATTACATAAACAAATACATAAATAAATTAATTAATATAAATATAAAAAATAAAAATATTAACCATTCATATTGTTTTCTTTTATTAAAATGAATTGATTTTTAATGTTTACAATTTTTATATATCATATTGTACACAACAATACAAAATCAAGATGTCAAAAATAAGCATTTATCATATATTAAAAGTGATGCCAGTTTGTTTGAACAAGACATAATACTGTTTTTTTACAACTCTCAAAGAAAAAATTACGGCTAGTGTTTTTTTGCACATTTATTCTTTACACGTAACTTGAAGAAAATAATAAATAAAATAAATTACTTAAACTCTAATTTTTTCTCACCTCGAGTGACCTCAACACTAGTGTCTGAATGCCTTCTACTTTTCAAAGACCTTGCTGAAAGGAACAGGGTTCACTTAATATGGATCCCAGGGATGGACAGCGGATTTGGGGGAAACGAAAAATCAGATGAGGAAGCCAGAAACGGGGCGACCTTATATTGGGCCACAACCATACTACGGTACTTCATGTAGCTTTTTCAAACTTAAAATTAATGAGTAGCTCGAAAAAGCAGCACAGACTGATTGAGATAATACAATTACCTGTATACAAGCTAAAGAATCTGAGGTTGCTACAAAGATATAAATATTCGAAGAACGAATTCTATCAACTGTTATATGGTTTACTGCTTTTGCAAATATCCTGCAAGTGGATATGGAAATTCGAAGACACGGTATTACTATAGTATTTGCATATATCTTAATTCTACTCTCTAATTTTGACCCATCTGCAACTTCAGCGTTACCTGTTTATATTAAAACCATAAGCAAAACACTAAAAGTATTTATATATATAATATAGATTTTATTTATTTTTAAATTTTGTATATCATAACCGTTTATGCTCTTTACATATATATATATGTATAATAAATAACTAAAAATGTTTTAATAATTGGTTTTACGCATACATTTAATATCTATTATTTTCGTTAAATTTTTTATTTCTTTCTTACATATTTTCTATTTTATTATATTTATTTCAAATATATTAAAAAATGCATAAAAATTATAAAATTACATTTCACATTATATTTTTAGTATAATAATTTGACGACCATTTTTTTATTATTTTTTAAATAATAAAGTTTTGGCTTATGGGTTATTAATGAAAATGAAAAATATGTTTTCCGGTTATACACAAACGTAAATTTTACTACTTCTGTATATTATACACACACATACAATAATAATAAAAAAATTATAACTATGTTTAAATGTATGTACTAATATAATAATTTATAAAAAAAGTTACATATATCATATAAAGATAAATTTATAAAGTTAACATGTTAAATGCGTGAAAGGTGACCGTGTCTCAATGGTTACACATAATATGGTTAAGTTTAATTTAAATTAAATTATAATTAAATATTTTCCAATTATGTTATTAAATTACATATCTATACACTAAATTTGTTCACAATAAAATGTTTACTTCAATTTTAAGATAATTTTATTTATTGTGTTCAAAGCATAAAATAAAAGGACGGGTCTCTCCTTAAATGTCCCGATCCTTGTTAGCGTTTTATTTGCAGTTCTTTGTTTTTTGTTTTTGTTTTTGTTTTACAGTTTAACGTGTTATATTAAAATTTAGGTTTTGATTAAATTTTCGTGATAATTTATTAATTTTTAAGATTAAGAAATTCGATATTTTGAAGAAATTTATTCGGATTTAGTTTTGTAGTTTTTTTTTTTGGTAATGCGAAGCATATAATAGAGTTTCTCCTTATAATTTTTCTAAAACATTTTACCTAAATTACATTTATATTTATAAAATATTTTGGACTTTGTTTAAAATTGTTTAAAATTTAGTTAGTTTCGCCTGAATATTCTAGACGGCAGTTAATTTCTGCAATTTAGTTTGATTTATGCAATAAATGTGTTTGATTAAATAAAAAGTCGTGCTCGTTAAAATGGTTTATAAAAAATTCGTTTTATAAATTAAAAACAATTTTACGTTTTATAAATTAAAAACATTTTCAAGTTTTATAAAATTTATAAAAAAAAGTATTTTTGTTCTACAATCAAATTTTAGTTTAATTGGTAACTAGTAAGTAACTAATTTGGTACGACTTGCACAGATAAATTTTATTTTGAAAACATTTTATTAAATACATAATATAAAGTGTTTAAATATAAAAAATCAGTTTCTGAAAATTTATATTGAATTCTTGTAAACAAAAATTGATTTATATGTAAAAATATTCAAATTTATTAGGGTTAAATTTATTACTATATTTCACAAATACAGTTTAGAGAAGTGCAAATAGTAATGAATTACAACAATAAAATGTTATAAAATATCTGATATTAATTTCATTTTTTCTTGTATAAAAACTTCCTTTCTATAGAACATAAATTCTCCTTAGCATCCTAGCAAAATACTTACATATTTGTTAGGGAGACATGTAGTACTTACATAAAAGGGAGGCACATGTCTACACAGTGATGCCTAGAAAACCATGTTCAACCAACATAATCACTCTCTTAAAGAACATAACATTTTATAATATATTATAAGAGGGAGGATATAATACTTATCATAAAACAAAGAAAGTATTTTTATTCATTGCAAAAAAAAATTTGATTTTAACCTCACTTCAAGCACTGTCCACGCCACTGATATATATCAATATTAGGATCAGTTGTTTCCAAAATGAAGAACCAAATGTTATCTAAATTATTAAAATTCTTCACTAATTACTTTTCAGTATGCTGTTTTAAATATATAGGGTTTTATTATATAAAATTTTTTTTAATTTCATTTTTCTTTATGCTTTAATGTCCAAATTTTCTTTGTATATTGTTTCACACGGACTAATTTTTAAGTAACTGAATTTTTTGACTAAACTTATTCCAGCTTTGACTATTATTAAATATCCATCAACAGTGATGGTTGGAATTTTTTATTTTGAATTTATTCTTCGTATACTATTTTTGCACTACAACTCTACTAAATTTTGTAGCACAGACTCATGTTTAGACAACTAAAGCAATGCCGTACTTATGTTTTTCAAACTTTTCCAAATTTTATCAATGAGCTATAATTGTTTTATAAATAAATTCACTTAAAAAATTTGTACAGACAGCTATACATTGATACAGTTAACTGTTATATAGTTGTTACTTTTAATTTTAAGTACTATTTCAATACTAATTCATTACTATTTACCCTTTCTCTATTTAAAGAGTTTCTTTGCTAGAAAAGTTTCTTTGTTTTACTTTCTTGTGGGGTTGAAATCATATTTTGTATTTGTAAAAATATAGATCAAAAAAGATCTATATACTACCATTTAACGAAACTATAATAAACTAAATTAAATTGATAACTAATATATTAGATAATATAATCTAGTAATTTCAATCTTTAAGCCAGTGTTGCCCACTTTTTAAATCCGCGTGCAATTTTAGCCAATTTTTAGTCGTACATGAATCCGGCTAGCAAATGGTACGGGCTATTTGTAACTTTAGAAGATTTTTCCTCCAGTTGTTACCAACAAAAAAGCAGGCAATTACGTAAAGTCGTATAGCAAATGACATTACAAACACAAATGTGTAAAAAGAGTTATGGTCAAAGCACCCATGCTTTAAACCCTTACCTTTTGAACAATACTATTTATTAGAAAATTATCTAAGAATTGTTAATTATTAATTTCTGGTGCTTATGAATGAATTACTTAAAAATTTTATTCAATAATTCAGTTTAAAATGTGCAAAGCGTACAAAAAATAAAATAACATCTATTTTAATTTTATATTTAAAAATTTGCGCTATTAACAAGTTTTGTAAACGATACATATACATTAACAAAACATAATAAATATAAAATTTAAAATATATAAAAATTTGTTATTTTTTTTATAAATTTAAAACACATTATTTTTAAAGTAATTCAGATAATAAATATACAATGTTTTTAAAAATATATGTACATAATAACATTTTAAAAATAGTTCTGTTAGCAATAGAACATATTGATTTCTATTTTTTTTTATTGTACAGCAAAGCCTTATAATTCTTTTTCAATTCATTTAAAAACAAAACATATAATAAAGATATTTTTGAAACATTTTTAACAGCAATAATTACTGATATTCATCATCACTGCTCAACAACATGGTTTTTTCATTATAATTTTGACTTATCGTTGCGACACGTTGTCCTCCAGGCATAAATTTTCGCTGATTACCCAAAGTCTTTGATGCAATACAACCACTCATGCCACCGCTACCATTCGTTGAAGCACCGCCGATACCGTTCTGTGATGCATTACAACTTGGATCGTCTGGATCATAGGAAGAAACACGTATGCCGCGAGAATTCTTTCCACCTATTTATTATGTATTTATTTCCATAGAAAATTATTACATTTTTAAAGCAAATAACATTTTCTATATAATTAATTTGGTTTTAAAAAACATGCTAAAGAGTTTTAAGAAATTTATAATCGTTATGCCAAGAATATTTTTAAAATGCATACCAAAATGTTTAAAGTAGAAATACAAATTATAAAAACAAATATTTTTTGGAACTGTCTTCGAATATTATTAGAAATAGTATTCGACTCGGTATCCTATTAGCACTTATTCGAAGTAATATATAGACGTTTATATAAATTGTTTATTTAACAAACTTCGACAGTTTTAAAAATACTTATTTTTGAAAGAGTAAAAATAATGTCTTTACACATAATACAGTTTAGTTAAATATATAGCCGAAAGACCTAAAGGTGTGGATAAAAAGTGTTTACTAAAATGCAAATATTTTTGTTAGTGTATTATGCATTTGCAATGATTTTTCATATGTCTATATCAGCATACTTAATTGTGATCACGTCTTCTAGTCCTTTACCTTATCCTTTTTATGTTTGAACAAAACTTAAGATATGAAATACAATATATACAATATATCAACATATCCATTGTTTCCTTAAAGTACTTTATACAATGTATAGAAAAATATATTACAAATTTTCAAGTCAAAAATGTACTATTATATATATAATATAAATAATATATATAATATTCAATAGGTTCCCGAAATTCTTATATACAATTAAAAAAAAAAAAGACTAGAAATTTTCTAGATAAAGAATTTAATAATTAAGTTAAGTTAATTAATAATTTTACACTTGATCTGAACTTGACTGTCTGCATAACATGTGTGTAAGCAACACTTAAGTGCCCAATGTCCAACACTTACGGATTACTTTACTTTAATTGTCCATTGTTAAACTAGCAAAGAATTACTGCTAAAAATAAGTTCTCCTTTTAAAATGATATTAATACTATTTTCTGTTTATACACAAAATATTATAAAATTAAAGCATAATCATTTTTAATAATGATTAAAATAAACTTATACAAAAAAAAATAATCTATATATATATATATATATACAAGTTTATTAATTAATATTTTTAAATTTTTAAATTTGCTGAAATATGGGTACAAATAACATCTGCCATAATTTAGAGTCAGATCTATAACAAACTTTCACAATCAAAACACAACAACTATATAAGATATTTATAAATTTATTTATAATTTATTATTTAATATTTTTATTTTTGTAGCATAGAGTAAACACTCATTACAACAATTATCGCTATATATATATTTTTTATTTTTTACTTAATTTAATAAGTGCACTTTTTTTCTTAATATTATTTATAATATCGAAATAAAAGATTAAAATAAAACAAAATGTATTTAAGTACCACCTTAACTAAATTTATCTGTTTATTTTTTTTGTAATTTGTATTAAGGCAGAGAAAAGCACAACTTATTTAACAGTTGTAATGTATATAAGTAGAAATTACTTAATAAAAAAACGAATCTAATAAATTGTGCATTCTGTATGTAGATTATGGAATGATATTACATATATAAAATATATACTTAATATTGCAAGATATCAAATAACTATTGAAGCTATACTTTCTTTTAGAAAATAAATCTTTATACTTATATAAAAAAGAAAACTTATAATTAATTAAACTCTATTATAAAAAATTCATAGTATTAAAAAAATGTACACAGAAATTATAACTTATTGAACTTAAATAAAAAAATTATATGTATATATATATAGTACTTATATAAATGAGAATTAAAACTAAATTGACGTTCCAAAGTAAAATCACTTTGTTTTATGCACACAAAAAGTAAAAAATAAAATTAAAAAATTTTCAAATTTGCGATTTTTTTTTTAAATAATAAACAATAAAATGGTTAATACTAAATGAGCATAAGACTTTTTCTATATAAAATAATTTAATAAAATAAAAAGTTATTCTTTATATGTGCATTATATTGAAACTAAATTAAGTTACAAGTTTAATTTTTAAGTACAAATAATTAAAAGGCAATTTGGTTGACAGCGTAGTTAAACATCAAAATAAAGAAAAAAACATATTTCATACATGTATACATATATACGTTTATAGTTTTTAAATTTTCCATATTATTTTGACACTATTTGTCACAGTTTTTAAAACTAAGCTTTTAAAACGGAATGGTTTAATTTGAAATCAGTAGCATTTTTAGAGTTTTTCATAACGTTGAGATGAAGTTACTTCTGTAAAAATAAAAATATAAAAGAAAAATATTTAACAAAAGAAACAAAATCTCTAATATAATATTTAAATTGTGTATATTTTATGTGAAGTAACATTGACTAATTGACTAATCTTTTTTAAATTGCTTTGTGAATGTGTGTATATAACCCAACACCTTTAGGTAATTTTATATATAGAAATTAGAAAAAAAAAATAATTTTTTAACTTAACTAAATAAAATAAAACATAATATCAGTATTATTTAACTACTACATATCTACATATTTATAAAAAAAAAAACAAACAAACAAACAGCATATATATTACATGCAATCTAAACAAAAATAAACATTCTCATACAAAAGAGCTAACAAACTAACCTGAGCTATATTGTGTATATTGTTGATATTGTGGATGGAAATTGTGAATAGCATCTGTCATTATGTCCTTCGGGTTCATTGTTTCCTTTAAAAAAAAATTAAGCAATTAAAAAGTTATATATTAAAAATAGTTAGAACTTTACTTTTAAGCTGCTTGAAATTGATTGCATTGTCACTGAACGTCCATGACCATCACCAATACAACTGCGTGCATATACCTGAAATGAAAGTAAAAATCTTTTATTATCTATAATATAAACTAAATTTCTATTTTTTACATATTCATAAATAATTACAGTTGATTAAAAATTAATAATTGTCTAAATAAAATACAAAGGCTAATCAATAAGATCTTAGCGATAACTGAAATTATAATCTGGCAATATTTTAAAATAAATAAGTATAATATATTTTTTATATATTATATATATAATTATATATTTTATTTATTTATTATTTGTAATTAACAAAATATAAAATCTTATAACCAAAATAAGAAAATTATTTTATTATTTTTTAAGCTGAAATTTAGTTACACGCTTCATTATATATATATATATATATATATATATATATCAGAATTTTATTTTATGTGGAACTATTTTTTATAATATGTGTTCAAAAACAGATTGTTTTGAAAATAGAATCGAAAGTAGAGCAATTCTTAAGTATATCATTTATGGATGGTGGGCTATTACAAAACGAACAGTAATGGCTGATCGCCACTCACTGGTGCTCATGAGTAGGTTTTGAATGACCCATACGCAATCCAATCCAATCCAAGAACTCGCAATCCAAGAACTCGCTTAGTTAATTTAATAACTGTATATTAGACCAGATTTAACAACACGCTAAACAATACTAGCTGCGCAAAAACGCGTCAAGTCCAATGTGTGCCCTCCCGTACTGCTCCACCTTCTACAACGTCGCCCAACTCTCTTCTCTCCTAAATGCACAGACAAACCTTAAAGCTTTTCGAGTTAGTTCCCATCCCATCGATGTGGTAAGATTCTTTATTTACATACATACTGGGTGTACTAATTCTCTCTATGCCCTTCACTTACTCCAACTCTATACTCCTCCATCCTTTCTATTTCCATTTCATTTATATATCTTTTATTAATCTTTTTTGTGGTTATTTGTTAAGATTCAAAGTGGAAACAGCAGGAATAACAACAATAAATTATGTAACAGCTCCGAACGTAGTTGATAAAAGCCTTGGAATATTGCTAAATAAAAATATTATAACGGATATTTTCAAAATCTCAACTAAATTCGTTCATTTTGCAAGAGCATTTGCATATAAAAAAATTATTAGCAAGATAAATGCAACATTTTGCTTCGACAATGGACCAAAAACGTGCCATTGTAATAAACTTCTCTAAAGATTAATGGATCATAGAGAATATACGCAGTAATTCTGCTTCTATTCGACCAAATATCTTAAATATTGGCAGGAAGTTAATGAAAAATCTACCATGAAGTTACCATAGGTAGACTCATTACAAACATCTATTTTCAAGAATTTCTATTTACTTTGAAATCCACCTTGTATAATGAGAATACTAGCAGTTATATCTTTTAACCCACACCTTTATTAGATATTACGAGTACTAAAGTATTTATTTTGAAATTTATCTTATCTTTTAAATAGTCATATTTAACGACCTAATTGTTTTATTTACATAGTTATTTTTGGTAGAAAGAGATAATCAAAAAAAATTAGTATATATTGGAGAAACTAAAACATGGACTCACCTGATAAGGGAATGCGTAACGTAAAGCAATTGCAGCGAATAACATTTCAATGCATATAAAGAAATTTTGATAGCCAGCGGATACTGTACCGGTTGATGTTACAGTGCCTGCACTGTCAACAATTGGCGATATAACATTGGCCTTTTCTAAAATAGCCAAACCAACACCTGTTTTAAAAAGCAAAAAAAAAATTATTAACAAATGTATGAATTTCACATAAGATAGTTGAATTATTTATGACTCACCTTGCCAAAAAGATAAGAAAATAACTGATTTGATTGTACAGAATTTCAACACAGGTTCGAAGGGTGTCAGTAAATCGCGCGTAGCAAAATAAAACAAATACAAACCATACAAAGCTAACGAAACGGAAATATTATAAATTACTGTAATATAAATATAACCACCATCAGCACTAAAATTAAAAAATTTATTTTATTTATATTTTTATTACATATTTATATTTATGTTTAGAAATAAAATTACCTCCAATCACCATCGTGATAATGTCCAAATGCTTGCAAAAATATTATTATAAAAGCCACCAAAGGTTTGACCAAACAAAATTGCAAGGTGGCTTGTTTACAAAAACGCAAGAAACCAATTGTGTAGGTTTTGCCTTTGAGGCAACATGTTCCATACAGACATGAGGTCTTTATTGGTTTGCCACGTATCTCCGACATTATATTTCCTTCGCCGCCAAGATACTCATAACACAGTGACAAGAAGTTATATATTACGAAAGCTAAAAATTAAAGAATTTAAATATAATTAAAATTAAAACAATATTTAATACAAAAAATATATATTAATGTATAGAGAGGTTTCGAGCAATACTGAATTCCAACAATAAAATTAAATAAAAAGTTTTGTTGTTCCAATTTAATACTATTCGAAACCTATCTATTAAATTCAAAGTTTCTATTAAGTGAAATGGAAGCTTCATTATTATCTACTGACGATAAATACAATATTAATTCCTTAAAGCCTTAACAAATACATTATATATTATAATATATTAAATATAATACAGATAATTTCCTTTTTTTGAATTCAGATTAACCTAATAATTTATATAATTATATAATAATTTATATAATAAATATAGAAAAATTAAGAGTTAATAAATTCCTTAAGAATTAAAATAATATATATATATGAGCTGTGCAAAAAGTATTTAAGTCAAAATTAATTAAATATTTTCTTTTTAATTTCTTTTTAATAATTGTTAATAATATTACAAATAATTTTCCCACAACCTTCTTCAATATAACAGGTAGAATCTCTTACTTTATTATTAAATCAATAAAGTTTATCTTTGAAAAACTGTGGTAGATGATTTTCACAGTCATTTCTTGAGATTTATTCAACGTTTGGTATATATCAAAACTTTTCAGTTAAGAGCTCGCAATTTCTGGTGAGTTTATAAATGATACACATATATTCTAGGTTGCTTATGATGAAACACAACACCTTTTTTGGACCAATTAAGGACTTTTTCTTGAAAATCTTGACTTCATGCACAATAATTACTGGTAGTAGAAATTTATTTCATTACCTCTAGTCTGTGTATGAACAACGTTAATCCGTAGTATCACAACGAGCCATTGTTTCAGCACAAATGTGCTTTGGCCACAAGACTACCATTCCGACGTAACCTTATCTAGTAGGTTCTTCTTATGAAACAACTTATAAAGCAACACCTAACCTCTTGTAAATTTCCGCTTTGCTACCGCTTACAGACCTTAAAAGTTTTCGATTAGCCTGTTATCATAACCTTCAAAAATGGATTAATTGTATGTTTATCATTTCCTTTTAGACATACCTAAAAACTATTTTTTTTATAACCAATACAGAAACTTCTCGATATAACAAATAATATAAGATCCAGGTCGTTCGTTATTTTAAAACCATTTCATATGTAACATTCGTTATTTAGAAATAATATTTTTGGTATACTCGTTACATACAAGTGTTGGATCGTTCGTTATTTAGAGAGTTTAGTTTGTCAGATAATCAGTATACCAAGAATTTACTATAATATTCTCGTAAATCCATTAAATTTTGGGGTAAAAGGTGACCTTTCGTTGTGGTTTTAAGTGCAAAATACATTTCTACCAACTCATTATCTAACAATACAAAACATTATTTACTAAATATTTTGAATTTTTATAAACAAAACTAAATTAAAATTCAACCTAAATAATTTTACTACCAACATAAATACACAAACTTAAGACAATTAAGTTAAAATTAAGTTAAAACTTAATATAATTAAGAAATAAATAATAAATCAGTATTTACAGTCATATAGATAGCTGTTAAATACATTTTTTATGTTACTATTCCGAATCGAAATACAGTTTCATAGTTCTACAAAGATAATTAAATTCAAAGGCTAATTAAGACTGACTTTGAGCATAAAATTTGGCAGCTTACAAGTTCAACACTTGGTATTTGCAGTCTCAAAACATTATTTACGAATAAATTAGTATAAGAAAGATTTCCAAAAAGATCATTGATGCTGGATATTTGGTAATACTCAATACAACTGTATGGTCAACCAAAAATTTAATTAACTAAAACTAATAAAATTTTTGTTGTTGTAATTCACTACTATTCAAAACCCTCTTCAATAAAATAATAGTTCCAACTGAGAAAATATTCTTTCGTCATAATTAACTTTATCAAATCAAATTTAATAATTAAACTATGTATATTAATTTTATACTAACCTTCATAGCAATCTCGTACAGTGAAAAAGTACACATACACATTATCGGAATTGAAAAACAGTAAACTTATCCAAGAGTACGTAGCATAAATAGGTACAATGAATAATATACGTACAATCCATCGTTGTTCTTGTGGATTCGTATACCAACGTAAATGTTGATAAATCTGCAACATAGACAAAAGAATTTAATAATAAAAAAATCAATAAATATTTTTGATATAATGAACTCACCTGTTGGCATGTAATAAAAAGTGCGGCCCAAACAAAAATGCCAGCTAAACCCTGTGCAGTTTTGGTCTGTAGAAAAATACCATCACCTACATGACTTATTAACGGATCTATAGGCGTCGACATGTCTTTTGCTGATGTTACACGTAAATTGTAATTAGGTTTAAACGTCGTACCATTCGGATCAATGAAATCAGTAGTATTTGTGCTCATACTGAAATAATTGGTTTTAATAAAACATTAGTAATTTTTTATTTTGAATCAATTATAATTAATAAAAAAATATGAGTACTATTGAAAGATATACGTCATTATTTAAACATTATTAACACTGAAATACTATCAACAAATCGAACGCCTGTCATGTTTAACCAAAAAGTGAAATTCGTACAATTATATCAGTTTATCTATTTGTGACTTATCAGCAAAAGGTAAACATTGTGTGTTAGTAGGAACCACAATCACCGCAATACACATTAAAAGCTCTGTTATACATAACAAATTTTTTTGCACCGAATCATGAATTTCAAATTATTTTGTGAAACGAAATGATAACGTAGTTTCAAAGCTTTTCAGAAACAAGTTAATTTTCTTAAAAATATACTTCGGCGTGCGTTTTTCCATTCCATTCAACCTGGCGCAGACAAGTTACTGCTTTAGGAAATATTTACAGCTTAGCTTTTCTGTGTGATATAAGATACACAACAACACTGCATGCAGAAAAAATATTTTTCAAATAGGTCAATTTAAACAGAAAACAAAAAATCGAACTAAATGAAAGCCATTAGATCATCATATCAAGTTACAAAACAAACTAAGAACAAATACACATATGAATTTTAAAATAAGAAAATTTAATTTAGGAAAAATATGAAATACACTAAAGGTTCTTTGAAAATATATATAGATATACATTCAAACACACATGACATATATAAACTGCATGTGACAGGCAATGAAGTTTTACATTTATTAAACACGTAGTAGAAGAGAAGCTCCCATGTCAGTGTCGTAGTAGAAACCCATTGAAATCTACATATCCTGTAGAGGCAACTCATCACTGTACTTCTTCCCCGCAATATTCAAATGAAGAGGAATAAACTAGCCATTTCCAATATTTGTACATATTTGTACATAATGTACATAATAGCTTCGTGGCTGCTTATAGAAAACGTTAGAGGAGCAACAAAATTTAACCAGCTTCACTTCAAACTGACAACTTGAAAATTTGACGTTTAATCAATCAAAAGGAATAAAAGAACAAAAAATATAAAATATCGCAAAAATACTTAAGCAGGTCTCAATAAAAGTGAGACCTGCTAATTGAGACCTAAAAGTGAACCTGATGAGTTCACTAAAGAGTTTTATAGGGCTTTATTACATATAAAACTACGGAAAAGTGCAAACGTGTAAGAAGCAGAAATTAAATATTTTACACTGTCCAGCAGTGCTATCAATGTATACCTAATTAATTTATCTTTTAATATTAATTTTATTTTTTTGCCAAAAGTGGAACGTCTTATGACTAAAAGAAAATACTTAAAAGTTAAAAGGGTTCGAATAGAAATAAAAAGACAACAACAAAAATTTTTAGTTAATTTATTAACTAAGTTTGGCTGAACATACAACGCTGTTTCGGGTATTGCCAAGAAGTACTCATCATCAGTGGTCTTAGGAAATATTCAAATTTCTTAATTAGTTAATAGTTCGTATATATAATTTGTTTGGACTGCAAGTGCCTTTCTTTTGTTTCTCAAGACTTACTACCTTTGAAAATAAGCTTTGAAATTGAAAGTCATATAAAGTTGTAATTCATCTTTCAATAAAACTAGAATAGAACAAAAAAGTGGTCTCGAAGAATTTAATAGCTTGAAAAGTTACCATAAGTACTAATAGTTATCCGGTAGGAGGAACGCGTAAGAACCAGAAGAAGCGCAATGTTGTTGGATATAGCATGCACTTCAATATCTGAACTCATACATTTCAAGATAACCTTTATGCCCTCATATTAGTCGCTTTTGAGAACTGCTATCAATGTATAATTGATATATTTATGGTTTTTCAAGACATACTACATTTGAAAATGAGCTTAGAAATTGGAAATCATATAAAGTCAAAATTCATCATTGAATAAAACAAAAAAGTGGTGTAGAAGAATTTAAAAGCTCGAGAAACCATAAAAAAAAATGTTTTAAAGAAATCAACAGACTACAAACATATTTCGTTAAATTAATTTTAATATTGTTATCGAGCTGGCCCATCACATATATAATAACAGGAAGAACAACCATTTTTATACTTAAGAATTTATATTAATATTTTAGTTGTTTGGTTGTGGGTCTATTTAAATAAACTGATCACCTAATAAAATACTACCTGAAAAAAAAGTATTTTGATTAAAATCTGTTACAATATTGTATAAAAGCGGGATTGATTAACCTAAAATAATTCCGCTTTATAAAGACAACTGCAAAACCCATTAATTGCCACACAAACGTCGTAGTATAGTAATTATATTAGATATGGGTTTAGTCTGGATTAAAGTGGCTGTACACAAACCAAAATTTTAAAAATACAACTAAATTATGCCAAGTTACGAGGGTGGTTTGATAAATCAGTGAGTTTTTGAATTTCTCGCGCAGTTACTCCAAATGCGACAGTGCTGCCGTCAGCTGTAATCTACCAGTGGGCAACATTTTAATTTTGAGCAAGCTACGTCGTTCAATTGGTGTTTGATAGCCGTTCAAAGCAGACAACCTCGTAAATTTTTACAAAAATGGTACAAAATGAATTTCGCTATTTCTCTAGGTTTGGAAACAGAAAATAGTCGCAGGGGGCTAAACCTGGAGAATATGCTGGATGGGGTAGCAGTTCGTATCCCAATTCGTGGATTTTGGCCACAATGCTTAATCAGCATTGTCACTGACTTATCAAGCCGCCCTCGTATAAGTATGATTTGTTGCACATACAATCACAAAAGAACAAAGTAAATAATTGATTTCGAACGCTTCTAACGATCTAATACTTACTTAGATCTAATACAGTTACTGTAATATCAGAAGAATGTGGAATAGGAAAACACGCCGGCCTACAACTCTCGAAACTGTAGATCACAGAAAGATTAAGAGAAAAGCATTACTCTCTCCGCTGTCGCCATAACCTATTTTTCTACTAGTTGTTCACTTGCTTTATTTCTATCCGCCATACCTAACGTTTGTATCAAAAACATTGCTCACTTTTTCAAACGATCACTTTCCGTTTCAGAATAAGGTGTAATCCAACAGTTAGCGAATCAGTCCCAAAATTTTACCATGGTGTCACAGTAGCCTAAGTGAGCAAGTCATTAAATAGACGGACTGCTACTGTTTCCTTATTATCACCAATTTATTTACAAATAGTTATTATATAGAGTTTTAAACTATATAACTCACAGTAATATTTTTATATGATAGTACAAATACGTATGATAACACCAAAATGCTACATCCATCTTAAGTAAAAAATATATGTATATATACAAATCTATTTTGTTTAAAATAAATCAAATTTATATAAGAAATTTATATTAAATACTTTTTATTTATATAAAAATACTTAGTTTATGAGCTTTAATAAAACTGAAAACTGTGACCAAAGCAATCAAAAAAACTCGTTTAAAATGTTTGTAAGTCACGTACAGTTCGATTTTTTCATCTAAAGTATATAAGGATATATTTTAAAAATAAACCAGTCGAATTAACATATCAAAGCAGTATCAAAAAGCAAAATTTATTCGCAAAAAGGAGTGGCTACTGTTATGTATTATTTTTTTTTTAATATATTTTTAACAATAATGTCTTTTTTATTAGTCCTTAAAATTGGACTTTTGAAATAGACAGGTTGAAATAGGTTAAAATTTGCGTAGGTAGTTGTTACATCCGACCTGTCTTTACCCTAACAAAATTTCAAAGCATTGAAAAAATGTATTAAAGCAGTCACGTATTTAGAGATATACTCGTAAGTACGTTTAGAGGGAAGTATTTTTTTCCGCGTTTCATTTTTATTTTGTCAGATTATATGTCGAAAAATAAAATAAACAAGATATATACGTTTCAATTGGTAATATAATAACCAATATATATCAATAATTTGCTTTTTTCGACAAAATCCATTTGTTGTTTTTATTGAACAGTAAAACAGTAGGTAGCTTCTTTGAGAAGTCGATTGCAAAAAAATATTTTATATTGGACGCAAAACTATAGCAGAATACCATATGTTCTCAAAACCATAATGATGTATGAACAATAGCTGATTTAAATAGGTTAGGTTAAATTATCGCGGTGACCCTAAAGCATGTTTCACAAATGAAGAAAATCATCCAGAAGTCCGGAACATGTTTGTTAGATGTCATGCTCTGTTCATAATAAATCGTCGAAATCTATAAAGCAGATATCATGAAAGGAAATATAAAACGAATACATGGTTTCATATGTAGTTGGGTAATATAAGTTTGAAAGAGAGTGATTATGTAGGAAAAGGAGTTGATCACCGATGGGTTGAATTTAGGAACTATACCACCAAAAAAAAATGTAACCGCTATACATTATTCCATCAATATTGCATCAATAATCTTTTAATAAGACTGATACAAGGCAAGGCATTTCAATGAAATTTAAAAGATCTCAGCTTGGGTACATATGTCAACATATCATTATTAATTTGTGTTATTTGTGCTTTTAACTTGTATTATTTTTTAATAAAAAGCTGTATTGCATATATCATAACATAATAACATAATCTACTTATTAAAGTTCTTTTTTTACGATTCTCTTTGTGTGGCGAATAGTACCTGTTAGATGATCTGCAATTTCACTTTATTATAACTGTTTTCACACATAATTTCATACATATCCTCCTTGTGGATAACAAGAGTTCTACAGTAAATCTCACTCCATTAGAAGCTGTTTTGTATATATCATACCATCTATATCACCAGGTACTAAATTCAGCGTTAATTAATGTTAAAGATTTTTGAATAGTTCAGTGATTTACATTTAAAAGTTTTTTACTATTAACTCAACGTAGATAATAGAATCTAAATAGTTTTCTAACTATGTTAATCTAACTATGTTAGGAACTGTTTTGTATATATCATTATATATGTATTTGTCTAGTATATAATCCTGTCTTGAAACGCACGAGCTAGGAGAATCTCACTCGTCATTGCTATATTAC